TCATATATCAATCTGTTGATTTCATTGGTTAAGCAATAAATAAACTGCTTGGCCCTGATTGGTTAGAACATAGGTGGGTGGAGTAAACAGAACAAAATGCTGGGAGAAAGAGGAAGTGAGCTCAGACTTCATGCAGCTCCTGTTAGAGCAAGGCACACGCGATGAAGCTCTGACCGAGGATGGACATAGGCTAGAATCTTCCCGGTAAGCGCACCTTGGGGTGCTTACACACATTATTAGAAATGGGCTAGTCCAGGTGCGAGAGTTAGCCTAGAAGAGGCTAGATAGAAATGGGCCAAGCAGTGCTTAAATGAATACAGTTGTGTGTTGTTATTTTGGGCATGAGCTAGCAGGCGGCTGGGGTGCTGGGGATGCAGCCCCGCCGCTCTTATCACTACATTTCACTTTCTTCCATATGGAATTCCTTCATAAAATTTATGATTTTAAGATAAATACATGGGTCTCAAATCAAAACAAAACCAAAACAGATTAATACGTTGTTCTCCTAGCCCAAGGCCCTTCCTCGGTTTCCTCACTGCCTCCCACAGTCAATCTTCCACTTTCAATCCGGCTCCAAGAAGCAGCAATTTTCCTTACCCAAGACAGAACATTCATTCTCCACACTTGGTCCTGCACCTTCCGAAATTGCTTTGGAGACTCCTACATGAGAAAATCAAGATGGTGATGTGACCAGAAAGATGCCTTTGTGTCTCAACACACCCCATCATAGAGCACTAAAGACAGAGGAGACATTTTCAAAAATTTTGACAGTTGTAAAATAGCCCATTGAAATAACTTTATAGATATTAGTTAACAGGAAAAGCCCAAACTGACAAAAACATTTTATCTGTAGAAACACTTCTTCATAGGATCTACCACACTGATTCCTGCATGAGACAGAATCCATCTCACTAAGTACCTGATTTGCGAGTAAACGTGTTTGATGTTGAATTGACAATCACATCTGCTGCTTCTTTGGTGATGTCCCCCATGGCCACTTGGAAGAGGATCAGGCCAATATTCATTTCATGCACTCCTAATGTAGGGCTGGAGAGACTTTCATAAAACCCTCCCCAGAAAAAAGAAAAGACAGAATCAGGCACCAAGTCATCAGAAGCAAAAATAGCTGAGGTCGCAGGCTACCCTATCAATGTATTGGCTGTCTTTTCTATGGCCATGGCTCTAGGCTGGGACAGAAGGATGCTTGAATTTAGGAGTTTGGAGCCATCCTAGGCAACATGGCAAAGCCTCACTTCAAAACAAAGCTCCAGTGAACCCCAAACAAGATGAACTCAGAAATGGAAAACCACATGTGACAGAGAAGTATTGGCTTCTATTGTCTCTTAAGGTGTCTCTTGGAAAGCACATGTCAGTCACATGATCCACTGGATGTGGTAGTCTCATCAGTAATTTAAAAATCCCACTCTACAGCTTATATGACCTGGCCCAGCTTTCCCTTTTGCCCAAGTCAGGCCAGTTTCTTTTATACTCACATGCATGGAATATCCTTTAATTTTCATTTAATATGTTCCACAGTATGACTTATCAGAGAAATGATCACCATCATCCTTTCCCTATCATTGAACAGTTACTTGGTAACAAGAAATCACTGGTCAACTTAAACACTTTACTGTACCTTGGGTGTCACTTGGATTTCCATGACTCCTTTTGTCAAATTCATCTGAAAATGCCTGGAAACACAAACACAGTTTTAACCATTATACTCCCTATGCGATCAGTGAGTTTGTGTCCTGGGAGCTTCTGATTCTGTATGCACACGTGTAGTGATGTGTATAGTAAAGACGTTGTGTCTGGCTTTGAGTGACATGTTTCAGCAAAACCTTCGCTAGGTTTAGGTTGATAGGTAGAGTCTGAGAATTTGTTTTGAGACTGTTTCAACCTTGAATAAATGTGTCTCTCTAGAAACTGCACCTAGTGCTCCAGAGAGCTTGAAGCTGAACCAACCTTCGTCTGAAGACACTCCTGGCAACCTGGGGTTCTTACTTTAGATTATGGCATTCCATAATGTGTGGGCTGTCTGCTTTCACAGGCAGGAAAAGCAAGATGATTACAGTATCTGGAACTTTTCCCAGACTCTGTTAACCTTGTATATGGTTGAATGAAGTAACTAGAGTGAACTAGTGTGAGCTAGGTGTCAGTCTCTTCCATAAGGATGAACCCCTCTGCTCCTTCAGAAAATGAAGACTTGGCATCTTGGTGAGCGTCTCTCTCTATTGTGGCATTCACATCAGGATTCACATAATATACATACACATGATTGGAAAATAGTAGCCTTCAAAGAGTAGTATTTAATTTAGTTCAATATTTTAAAGTTATAAAAAACAAACATATTGGCTGG